GTCTTCTTCTTCTTCTTCTTCCTTTTCTTGTCTTTCCACATACGTTTTCCACAAGTCTATGATCTCGATCACGAAACAGCAGTCAAGCAGCATCATCTGGGCGAACTCATCACTAGTCATGTCCACTTTTTCTGAATAGGCCATACGTGCCTCGTGCTCTCTTTCCTTGATCTGATCGATGTAGTCTTCCAGTGGCTTGCCGGGGTTTCGGCCCAGGAATTCCTTGAGGTAGTGCCATTTCAGATCTTCCATAGCTTTCAGGTGTATGTTGCCATGGTGGTAGGGGCCGAGCGACACCATCTTAGGCTCATATGCCTTCGGATCTGCCTCTTGAAAGATTCTTGGGACTTTGAAGATGGTCGGCCCACTGGTGCGCCCGACCACCCATTTTGTTTTGGCTACCCTCGTCTTCAACGAGCTTAACCATTCGTCATTTGTAATTATCTCGATCTTCTCCTCTGCAATACTCATCTTCAGCTTCTTTTTATTTTTGTTCTTGCTTTCCTTCTCTGGTGTCTTCCCCAACCTTATCTTATACTAAGGTTCTCGGAAGAAACGAAGCAAGGAATCTGGAGAATTATTGCTCGACGAATGTGAGAACAAAATAGTCGACCTATTTCTCCATAGGAACGCTGGCTTAATTCAAATTCGGTTTCTGTCATGAACAAATTAAAAAGAATAGTATAAACAAATTCACTAGCCCTTGTTCACAATGTAAGCATAAAAACTATAATTATATTCTTAATTTCAAAAAATAAAATTAAATAATAATAAATCAAATATACGATGTGTACATTTCAATATTATTCAGAAAATTTTTATCTAATTTATTTGAAAGTTGTGACGATGTCAATATGTAAAGGAGAACTAATCTGGCTTTCTCATTTTTTTTCTTTCCTTCATAGGACAACTATTAATAATTAGTGATGGATTAGAGACTAAGGGAAGATGAATAAAGATTTATAATTTTTCAATAATAAATCACATCACGTATCGTATCATATCGTGTTGAGTCTTTAGGAGATCGTATCTGTTTAGAAGCGAGAGCAAAAAGTCTAAACTAAATAGTTAGGAGAGTCTCTCCCATTAAATTCATATCGTAAGGAATCTCATCATAATTAGATTTCCTTTCTATTAATCGATAATCATAATTAAAATCCAATCAGATATATAATATATCTTATCTAATTAGATAGGACTACATAATCTAACACAAATTATAGATACGATGATGTAAATTAGCGAATTTTGTTTGTATAAACATTTTAAAAATTTTACAACGATTATAACTTCTAATAGTGTCATCCCAAAAGTGTATTTAGATACCATCCTTTGTCTCATGGACAGATGGACGAAAAATAAAAGAGCACTTTTAGTAATCATTCAATCAGAAGATTTAAAATAGAAATCACATAGATTAATAATTAAAAAATATACTTAATAGTCAAAACATAATATTTATGATATTCGACATTCTCTATCTATAATTACGGAGAAAACTAATTTATTATTGTATTATCGAAGCTGATTTCATAATATGATTTAAGACTACTAATCAAACTTTATGATTGAAAATTTATCTCTCGTATACTCATATTCAATTGTCAAGTCACTAAAGATATTTTTTGACATACTATAATAATTTTTTTCTCTAAAAATAATAAATACTTTAGCAATATTAAGCATATTAGCATAAAATACTTGATAGTTAAAGAAATAGTTTAAAACTAGTGTCAATTGTTTTTTTAAATTTCATTATATTGATTGCTAATATATTTAATAAGATTTTATAGTTTAAGATTAAAGAATATATTCTTAGAATAGGTCTTGTAGGCAATACAAAAAAGATATGATGATGAATTTTAAGCATATATTATTTGTTCTACTATCCTATTTACATTTATGTATATGTATATTATGGTTGAATGTGATAATAAAATTATCTTGACGAGATAAATTATAAAGATCATTATGAATTGTATTATGAAAGATTAATAATATTATAGTATAGAAAAAAAGAGTATGATATTGATGATATATAGTTACTATGACTCGCATTGACAGTGGAACTTGATATGATATTATTATGTTTATTAGGCATATTAGCATGTTTTATAAAGTACGTGCACTCATTTAAAATCCTTTTTAAAATTTTAGCATCCAATTGGGTAATATTAATTTTAAATAATTTTTAATTTTAATTTTTTTATTTTCTATCTTAACAATTAATGGATCAAATAAAAAAATATTAGATTATATGAGTTTATTTAATTAGTTAATATATATTAAAGTTCTAATTGGATTCTAATCAATGTTATAGACAAGAAATCTATTTATGTTAGGCTTCCTCATGAGATAATATTGATATTGATGAGATAAACTCTCTTAATTATTTAATCTATATTTTTTGTTCTCACTTATATATAGAAACTCCTAAGGATTATATTATACATCATATATCTATCTATTCTCATCTCTTTATTAATCCTTACTCCTCCATTAATATTAGGATCATATATCTATTTTCATCTTCCTATTAATCCTTATCCTATGGAAGATAAGAAGAAAAGGGAATAAGAATCTAGTTTCCTTCGTATTAGTGCTATTGTTATGTGAATCGAACTATAGTGAGTTGCTAGATCAAATTAAAGTATTCTATCATAACATCGAAAGGTATCTTGGTATTACGTTAGTCCATATAATTATATTTTTTATGCTTACATGCAATAAAAAAAAAACTAACATGCTGATTAAAACATCATCAAGTAAATGAGAAATGTTTGCACGTAGAGAAAAAGCTAAGATAGAGATGTGACACAAAAAAGAAAGGTGTTAATAGTTAACTTGGAGAAAAGACATGTTTGCATCTAAAACAAGATTTTTTTCTCTGTTTTGCTTACCGTGAATCATACGTGCTAGGGGAGGAGGGGGTGTGTGGTTGGTGTTGGGGGCCCGAATGGTGAAGACATTGACACATTACCTCCTCAGCTCTGTATTTATACAGTTGACAGCTTCCTTGTTCGAGGGGCCACGCAAGGAAACATCCCACATACTAAGCCACACTTTTGTCCATCAAAAGACTCGACTCTTGTACCACTTTATAATAATTTATATATTATAAATAATGTCCAAATTGACATAATTTATAATATATAATATAGTCATATAAATATATAAGTTGCTGCTTTGTGTTATATAGACTAGATTAGCATATCATTATCATTTGGCATTTAGTCAGGTATTAACTGGAAAAAAACTTTAGAGAATATATGGATTCAATAATGATAATTAAGCTGCTTCCATCCCACTCAATGGATCGACCAACTTTATCCTCTCCTCGGCCTTAGCATGTCGAATTAGTAGGTTGCTTCTACTATGAAAAAGGAAAAAGGGAGAAGGAAGGAAAAAAATAAAAAAAGGAAAAGCAACAACTCTCACAAACTTTGGAATGCCAAAGTTATAAGTTAATATATTCCATTTATTTTCCCATGTGTAGCTCACTTATAATTGAAAGTGCAGATCCACATGACAGTCGGAAGACAATTCAAATGCTACATCGTCTCCTGTTCAATCTCATGCAGCGACATCTCCTTATGCCACCCACATCAGTTGGCATGAAATCCCATTTCATGCTGAAAAAGAATATTTTTATAAAATTGTATGAAAAGATGGAATAATTATTTGTACGATTTTGCTGAAAAGAAGTAAATATTTGATCTTTTTCCTAATTGCGTTTGTGATAAAAAAAAAAAGTATGATTAGTTGCTGCTTCCTTTGCCTTAATTAAGAAACTAATATGCGTTTTCGTTCATATGAGCAGCTTTAACACGGTTGGGAATTCGTATGAGATGAGCCCTGCAGAGGATTGGAATGTGTAGATGATTAGGAGACTCATCGAGCAAGATTATTTATACATGGAAGAGAAATAGAGGGCAGGAGTTGTATTATTGTTATTTATAAATAGTGGGCAGGAGAAATAGGTGATCGGCATAAGAAAATCATAAATATAGAGGAACTATATCAAGGAGAAAAATATAGACACTTCTAAACTGTAATCTCTTGTTAATCATAAGAACTTATGATCTTTTAAAACCCTAAATTTATCGATCTTTCCATTTTCTTATTGTTTCTAAAGCATTACATTAACTTTTGAAAATATTATATTAGCTCTCCATTTATAGAGGATCAACTGACTATGTTAACTTTAACCATGACAATGACTCATATCTTATGTAAAACTCTTAAATTAATTTTTTATTTAATTATAAAATTTAAGTTATCAATATACTTCCCTAAAATAAATTTTATAAAAAATAATTATGAAACGTTTAAAAAATTATTACGTTGTTATTTTTGATTTGATTTTTGAGTCATAAAATCTACTATAGCAGTCTATTTGTTGCACCTACCTTAATCAATTGTAAGAGGGATTTGTTGTATCTACTTTGTGAGATAAATAAAATTAGATAAATTATCAAATAAAATTAGATAATTTATATTTTTATAGGTAAATTGTTGTATTTTGTAATGCTCGTAAGTTACATATGACTCATAATTGAATGGATCTAGGTATCCATTATTCAATAATTTTTGAATTCTTCCTTCGTGGAAATGATCCAGTCTATAATGCTACATATGTGCACTGTTCACCTCATCTCATTTTCTCTTGGATACATTTATTTTTATGATATGTGGGGCAATGTCTAGCACAAATAAACTATTATGCAATGTTCATCTAATGATAATCTTATCATGTAATATTATTGAACAATAATTATTTTTAAAAATTAATTTATATCCACTAACTATTAAATATTAAATAAAAATAATATTTATGATAATAGAAGAAATAAAATAATATACATCCAATACAATAGTTGCTCTACTAGGGAAATGTAGGATGACCTCGCCAACAATTAATGTAGCAACCTTTGCATTAAAAAATAAACAATCAATATATAAGCTTCTATCTTAATATACTCTTATTATTTTCTTACAAAGCACACAACTCCCTCCAATATGTGAATCGAAGACTCCCAACTGATTCTTATCCTATTCGACCTTCGAGCATCATGATCTCGAGGGACTTGATCAACAATGACCCTAAATAACCATTATAAAAAGGAACGTACAAATATGTCTAAGGACATAATATTTTTTTTCAGTTTGACTTATCCAACGACCACTGACTTAAGCATCAGAGAATCATTTATTGGGAACACCCCTCAATGTAGTTTGTTAGGGTTCGAATGTAACATAAAAATGTTTTCACTTGAGAGGGGCGAGAAAGATCTGGGTCGAATACGATTCAGCTTCCAAGTTGGACAACTAAAATTTGATTCCAACACCTACAAATTTAATTTATAAAATCATATCAATTACACCATTTAATATAATTTATTTTGAACTAGTGTAAGTGGTTGATTAAAAACTAGAGAGAAGATACAATTTTTAAGGGCAAAAGATAAAAAGTCACTGAAGGGTTTTTTTAATCATTTTGAAAATATAGAATTCTCTGTAATAATTTTTTAAAACTAGAGATTTTTTTTCATGAATTTATCTAATTTTAATAGCCTAATAAAACACAATGATCTAGATACCACACATCCCTCTTACAATTGATTAAGATAGTTACAACAAATTAAATGCTATTATGGATTGCATGACCAAAAAATCATATAAAAAATAATAACCACAATAATTTTTAAAACTTTTCATGATAATTTTTTATAAAATATATTTTAGGAAAGTATGTTGATAACTTAAATTTTATGATTAAGTAAAAAAATTAATTTAAGAGTTTTATGTAAGATAAGAGTCATTGTCATGGTTAAAGTTAATGCATTAAGTTGATCCTCTATAAATGGAGGGCTAATATAATGTTTACAAAAGTTTATATAATGCTTTAGAAACAACAAGAAAATGGAGAGACGAGCGAAAGACCGAGAAATTTAGGATTTTAAAAGATTATAAGTTAAATAAGGTTTTGTAGTTTAGAAGTGTCCATATTTTTCTTGTTGATATAATTCCTTCGTATTTATGATTTTTTTTTTTATGCGGATCACCGATCCATTTTTTTTTTCAACATGGTATCAGAGAAATTATTTTTCAAAAATAATTAATGATGATCTGCACATTACACAAATTTTAATTACCTAACAAAATGCAATAACCTTAGTTGCAGGTAGCACAAGTATTTACATATATTCGAGCAATGCGAAAACTACCCGACACATCATTTATTGCATTAAGGAAGCAAATGTAGTTTATCAAACACATATTTATTGCATCAAACAAAAAAATACAGACTAGCAGAGCCATCAGTGCGGTTATTAATGAGACTGCAGACACTGCAGCAAACACACCAAGAGAGCACGAGGGAACACGAGAACCCAATGCTACAACAGTACACGGGCCAAGAGACTGCTACTTAGGTGGCCAAAAGTAGCTCACGATCGTAACGAGGGTGAGCACTAGGATAACTGAGAACAACGAGAAGAACGCCCGACGAGTATTGAAGTGAGTTGCCCGATGTCTGTTGCTGTCGTAGTACTTGGTGACATCGCTGAAGATGCTCGGCGGACACCAGCTGCCGTCGAAGACCTTATCCATGACAAGATCGTGGAAGATACTGGCTACTTCTTTGCTATGGTCCCAAGCGCCAATCACGATTTTATCTCGTTTGAGGAGTTGGACGTCGGCAGCGGTATCGATGATGGAGTTCATGAGAAGCACGTAGGCGGTGACAACTGGGTTGGCAAGCTTGTGGCACTGCTCGAATGCTGTGAGGTTCCTGAAGAGTGTATAGGTGTCCCCGTCGAATATCAGCTGGGCCATCTCCATCACCCCGTTTTGGAAGGTGACATCCAAGAAGCTCTTAGCCGCCACCCTCATCTTGAACTGGACCCCGACCTCCTTGAGCAGTGTCGCATTCGGCATCCATGGCAACTCGGAAGTCGGTTGTCCAGTCATCACCACCCGATTGCAATGTCGGTCCGTTTCTGGGATGATGCAGGAATGGAGGATATGAAGGAGATGGTGTGAACTGCCGCTGAGAGAAGCAATTTCCATTTTACCGGTCCTTACAAATCTGCCGATGAAATTGAGTACCATCACGAGGAGGTTGACAGATTGGTTGGGAAAGGCAGCGTCAAATAATGTCTCGAGAAGAAAGAAGGGAAGCTGATTCTCCAGCAACAACATGTCCCGTGCTACCGCTCGTAGAGCCCATGATGTACTTTTGATTGGATTTTGTACAGCTTCAAGTCCTTGCTCAGTCTGTTCCCAGGACGTAATGGTCTCAACCACAAAACAGGCGTCAAGCAGCAGCATTTGCACGAAGTCATTGCTACTCATGTTCGGTTCTTCTGCGTAGGCCATCCGTGCTTGGCTCTCCAGTGCCTTGACCTGCTTGAGGTAATCCACCAAGTTCTTGACGGGGTTTCGGGCCAGGAATTTCTTGAGGTAGTGCCATTTGAGCTTGTTCATGTCTTGCAGGTGAGGCTTGTCACGGTGGTAGGGGCCGAGCGCGATGATGACCGGTTCGTAGGCTTTGGTATCTATTTCTCGAATGTGGTTTGGGGCTTTGAAGATTGTGGGCAGTTGGCTGCGCCGGTCCTCCCATTTAGTGTCGGCCACCTTCTCTTCCAAGCCTTTCACCCATTCGTCATCTAATGTCACGGTGTCACTCATCTTCTACTTGTTCCCAAACTGGTCCTTGAGCAATTTAAGGGAGAAAAGAAGCATGCAGGGGAATCCACGACACAGTTTAATGCACTTATTTGTCTCGTGGAAGACGTTGACTTGAGCTAAACTTTGTGCTCTGTTAATGACAAGAATAAATACCAAAATAATCATATAAACATATTCACTACCACTTGGAAGGAACGAATCTATGAACGTTAGATATAAATAAGCAAAATTCGTCTAATCAATCCGCTTAAGACTCTGCTTCA